TTTATTCGTGAATTAATTCATGAATTAAGAAAAGATGAACAAATTAAGCGAATTGAATTATTTGCAGAAGCTGATAATGAAATTGGTTTAAATTTTTATAAAAAAGTTGGTTTTCAAGTAGAAGGATGTTTAAAAAGATATATGAAACGAGCACAAGATGATCATTTTGTTGATGAACTTGTTTTGGCAATGATTTTTGATTAGGATTTTAATGAAATGTTCAATGTTTTTTTTTAATGAAAAGATAATTTTTATTTAATCAAATGAAGTAAAATCGTTCACATTAAACTTTTTCTTCATTCATATGGAAAGTACAATATGTAGTTCACAGCTTTCCTTAGCAACTAAAAAAGATGCTGAATAGCAACATATATGTTGACATGGATAATGAGAATAAAAAGAAGACTCACATCCAAACCCTAAAGACTTTATTAATACAATTAAAAGGTTTCATAAACGACACTTTTTTTTCAAATAGATTTTCTCGTTAAGAAAAACTCATTAGTTTGATAATAAAAGAAAAACCTCATTTTTCAATTAAAATATAATTAGAAGTTCTATTGACAATTCTAAACAAGTATCACTTTTAATATATAAATGAATCAATAAAAAAATATAAATTAAGAAAAATAGCTATATTCACTAAATAACGATAATTATTGATGAAATCCTAAAGAAAATCATTTTTTTAAATCTTATTTAGTCATTAAGAGAGAGAAAAGAATTGTTAAATGATAAATACTAGATAAAGAGAAAATTCTTTATTTTTCTCAATTTTGTTATTTAAAAAAATCAATGTACATGGATATATTTATAATACAGATAAAATAAATTCTTTAACAATATTCACGACCTTTAGTTAATTCGATAGAAAAGCAAGAGTTTCATGATGATTGAATATATAAGATCGGTTTGACACAGGTCATTTTTCTTCTATAACAAAGCTAATTATAGTATATTGATCAGACAGAACTGTCCTTCTCTTTTAATCACACGAATCAGTTTCGAATATTTTTCAGATAATTATTCAATATAAATAAGTATTCAAATGATGAATATACCATTTACGTTCATTATTATGTATAATGATATCTATATAAAGATTCAAATTAAATAATATTCTTTTCATATATTATCTTGTCTTTTTTTTGTTCTATTAAATTCTAATGTAATCATAGTTAAGTGCATAATTACGAAACCTCATTGAAAAAATCATTACATTGTAATGTTTCGTATCAAATGTAGTGTTGATTATCTACAAAAGGTATTCGTGATAGATCGAACTATATTTGATAGAGCAGAACAAGAAACATATAGATAATAACATTTTTATTTCATCAATAACAATACAAAAATAATAATAAAAAAGAATATTCTTTGTTTTCTGTTGCCATCAGTCGATTGAGACCTTCTATGACGATTTTTCCTAGAAAAAAAAAAGATCCACATTAGTATATGAAAGAAAATGAGATGAAGCGATCAAAAAAATACCGTGAAAATATGTTGACTAATTGAATATTTTTCGATAGCATTATGATTTTATAACAGTGCCAATTAGCTAAATGATTTGTCCAAAAATCACGTTGACATACTTTTTATCAATCAGCTCAATTGGTAGATTAAGACATATAGAGATGTATTTCGAATTAACGTTACTATATAAGATAAAATGTGAAAAGAAAGAGATTATATTTCATTTGTGATCAGCACACCTATCTCTCTTATTCTCATTTCACAGATTTTTATTTTAGAATGAAAAAAACCATTATTTTTTTTTCCATTAACATAGAATGGATTCACTCGATTTAATTGAACAAATTTAGAAAAATGAAAATAGTTGTTTCAATACTTGCTGATAAATAGACGATAAAACACAAGCGATGAAATAACAAGATTTAAACAGGTGAAGATTTATCTTACGAAGGAAGGTCACCAACTGTCCAATTGCTCTTGACTCGAGATTATATGCATCATATAGTTCCTGATGCTCAAGTTTCGACTTGAAACTTTGCACAGAGATAGGCCTTAACAAGAATAGTTTATTGTGAAAGTTTCAGTTCTTTTTGTTGTTCCTATCCTAATATATGACTATAGTAAAAACGTGTCTTCTACATCGCATATATACACTAGCAGCTCCGACGTTCGTATTTCAAGATACGAACAACAAAAACATCTGAAACGTTCACAATAGACTATTCTTGTTAAGGCCTATGTCTGTGCAAAGTCTCAAGTCAAAATTCGAATATCAGGAAAACTGATATTTTGTGAAGGAGACTACGGCATTCTATTAAACAACATTGTATAAATGCAGCACATAGCTCATCAGGAACTACTTGATGCACATAGTCTCAACTCAAGAGCGATTGGACAGTTGGTGACCTTTAATCAATGTCTTTTCATGTTTCTTTAATTTATATGAATGAAATGAAATTTGGAAAGTAAAATATAGAATTACAATTCATTTTATTTCGTTATGCTTTTCGATCATCATATTTAGGTAAAGATATGAAAAAAAAAGTGTCGAAGAAAATATTTTTATATAAATTATGTAATTTTATTTATAGTAATCATTTAATTGGCACAAATGATATAAATCAATAGAATATTCAACTATTTACTAAAATGAATTAGTTAGTTAGTTTTTCATCGATTAAATTGAAACTTCTATATAACTAATTTTTTTCTACGAATAATCAAAACTAGAATATAAAATTTATTTTTCGAAAATTTAGGATGTGGATGTAGAGATGAATGAAGAGAAGACCTGCGGTAGCACTCACACCCTATACATATATCTATCGATTAAAAAAACACAGCTCCCTAGAGTGAAATATATTGAGACAAAATTCGTTCATAGTTCGATCATTAACGAAAAAATAAATTTTGAGAAAAACAAAAAAGTTTACTTAAAATAGAGGTAAAGTATAAATATATTACATGCCAATTGAAGTACTTGTTTATGTACGTTAGATTGCCCTCGTATGACATACATCACAATAGATAATGCTACTTATCATTATCTTTACATTTGTTATAACATTGAACAATATAATAAAGACAGAAGAATATAAAATTAATTTTTTTAATTCGTTTGTTATCTTACAGTTTTGCTTTTACTGATAAATCATAAGAAATATGATATTTCATTTTATATAAAAAACTATATCTTGAGAGTAGATGTATGGATGAAGAGAAGGTCTACACTTACAACCTCATGTCATTGTAGACTCCAAAATTATGGCTCTGAGATACGCAAACGTTTGATTACCTTTGAAAAATATTTATTTATTTTGCATAATCTAACTCTACAAAAATTATTTTCCTGCTGGGACTAAACATCATTATTTGTTCAGATAGTTTCAAAGACCTGTTCATAAAATCCTCGAAAATGTTCAAGAATTAAAACTAATTTTATAAATTCGTACACTAGGCAACATGTTCATATGTTTATTTTAAAAATTTTTTTCCGATGAAAATCGAGTTTTCTGAGAAGAGGTGCTGTTAATCAATGAAAAAATTTCAATGTTAGAAAAGAACTATGTTTAAGTATATAGATAAGACTTTTAATATAAATGATCATCAAGATTCTTTAGATATTGACATTAATTAGATTGATTCTTCTTTTTTTTGTTGTTACACATTCATTTACAATATTAGTATAGATAAAACTTTTATAGACCTGCTTATCTTTGTTATATTTTCTCTATTCAAAAAAAGAACCTATTTCTATCATCACTATCAGTTACATGAATAGAATAAAAAAATAAAGCAATATAAGGCGTATATTTAAACCATAAAAAGTACTCAAATAATACTCCTTATTATCACAATGTAATAATAGAAATATCTGCTGTATTTTATGTTCGTTTCTTTGAATATTCTAAAATGAGCAGACATTTTAGGTTTACACTGTACTGATTCTTCAAAGGCATCAGTTGGTTTGTATATTATTACTTTTATCTTATTGATTGCTACTATTCTTATATTATTTGTATTATAAATTTTATATAAATCTATTCGAATTTTATCTTTTTTCTTGCAAGAATATTTACATTAGTAGCATCTGTGTCATATTTTGAAAGAATCTCTGATTATTCATTTAAATCAATGGTTGTCACTCATTTTTTTGCTGCATTTTAGCTTGTTAGTTGATACAGAACAATATAAACTACTAAAAATAAACACATCAATTTAACAAAAACACATTAATGAATATTCTCTCTTTTTTATTCTAATATTAAATAACATTTATAGATGAATGTCTAATTAATTTTAGAACCATTTTGAGAGAAGAGAAAATTTTTTTTTAATGAAATCTAATAAATAGATATTACAGAGAATTTTTACAGACATCAAAAATATTATGTAACATATGTTCGAAAAGTTAGTTGTCAAGTGTAAACTCTTATAAAGTCAATATATTCTACTTAATAACAAGCTAATTTTATTCAAATAATTGAGAAATATGTCTATAGTGTGATTCATTTTAGATAAAAGCAATATACTACCATATAATATTTGCCTTCTATATGCTTTCAGAATTTATAAAAGCTCGCAAATCTTTATTAAAATCACTCGTAGTATTTCAAAGGGATGTTTCTTAATATTTTATACTTTGAATAATCCTCTATCGTTGATAGAAATTTGCTATCATAAAGATACTTATAGGACATTCTGTGTTATGTAAAATAAAATATACTCCATGTATATGTTAAATCTATTAATTTAATCTTTAATAGAATACAATCGAGAGAAATTATTATACGTACGACAGAAAAAGAAAATGATATTATTAAGACGATAATCTGTTCAAGATGCAAGATATTTACTAATCAAAATTTTACTGTATTTGAACCTCTTTTTTTTGAAGAAAGACTTCTTGCAAGTGTTTCGTTGTATGGTAAGGTAACATTACAGTTAGTACTTCTCACTATTAAAAACAAAATTGCTTCATCTTCTGATATTATGTAATATAAGAAGCTGAAACGCTTTTTAATAGCAGGTAATACTACCTTTAATGTTATTCATTTCATGAGAAGAAAAAAAACCTTTATCTCAAAAACACAATCAAGTATTCAGATCATCAATAGAAATATTCTTCTTCCGTATCTAGTGCTCTCTATTGATAGAATTAACCAATCATCAATCGCCCTTAAATCAACTATTCCTGTAATGATTCATAGTTAACCGATATGATAGATAGGAAACTATTAATATAATATACTTTTTAGAAAATAACTAACACTTTGTTTAAATTAAATCTTTTAATAAAATGGTAAGAACTATTTTTTACTTTTTATTTTTAATTTATTTTTTCCTTCTGTAGATGAATGAACATATTGATGATGATGATGATGATGATGAAGGTGTAATATTCGATCGAAAAACTTTAAATCTTAAAGCAAATAAAACATTAAATACTTCAAATCCAACACCTTTTAATCCTAGTCAAATTAATATCGGAGTTTACAATGAGTCTAATAAATTATCAAAAGATAAAACAATTCTTTTGGCTATTACTTGTATATCTATGGTATGTATAGTAGTTTCTACTGTCATAATCGTTAATATAAGAAATGCTAGAAGATATTCCATTTTGTTGAGAATTATTTGTTCTATCATTTTGGATAGTTCAAAGAGATGAAAAACTTGAATTTCAGTTTTTCAGAAATCTTATTCGTGAAAAACTAGCAATTATTTTCACCTTCAAAAATAAAATCTTCTACAAACACTACGACAGTTAGAAAATAAACCTGGAATTGCAATGACGTTTTATCAAAGTCTATAGACATGAAAGAAAATCGGAGTTGAATTTGAATTTGTTTCGTACCCGGATGCCTCTATAAGGCATTGTTGAAATCTTTAAAGTGCATTAGTTTTTACAGTAAATATCAGAGAATAAAACTTATTACGCAGAAAAGTATCGTATGTTGGATTCAGGAAAAAAAAATCTAGTTGACTTCGTGTAAAGCTCTTCTGTAATTATAATAATAATCTTTATTTTCGTTTGAATAAATTTTATTTTTAAAAGGGTATGTTTACTGGTTTATTGGGACCAACATTACCATATCTAGCACAAAATATGTCTACTAAATTATCATCAATTATATGGCTTATTGTTGTAAAAGGTATTGGTTTTCTTATTGGAACTTGTTTAAGTTCATATCTTTATACATAGTAAAACTCGCTTTTATATATTACAAAGAAGAAACAAAAAAAAATAAAAAATTGTTTGTTTATTGATATTAAATAGGTTTAATACATGTTGTTTACTTGGTTTATCTTGTTTATCAATAAGTTTTGATGTTTGTTCACTTCCATTTATAACTGATTTAACAGCATTCTATTTAACTACACTTACACTTGGTATCAGTTTAGGTTTATCATATAATGGTAAGAAAAATATGAAGAATTTATAGAAAACAAAAAAAATTCATTTTCTTGTTTTCAGGTATTGATGCACTTTATAATTGTGTATGGACTCGACCATCAATATCATCTATTCGTTGGTTACATTTATTAGTTGCTTTAGGTGCAATTCTTTCAACATTAATGTTACTTTCATCAACATTTTCAATTGATAATAATATTTCATTAATTACTCGTATGTATGAATTGAAATATGAAAAGGAAATATTATTATTATTTTTTTTTCTAATTAACAGAATCATTTCATACTAAGACACCATATGTACAAATAAAACAAACAACTTCAAAATCTACTTGTATTAAATCTTATTGTTGTTTTTATGAGAATAATCGAAATAATACATTTATTTGTCAAAAAAATAATAATAAAAATCAATCAAATGATTGTAAAAATATTTTTTCATTATGTAAAAATTTAAATTCAAATATTTGTTACATGGATAAAAATGATATATGGTGTCAAATTGATCAAATATGTACAAATGAAATAATATCAAATTGTTCTATAGAATTAATTGATACAGCTATTAATGTAAATAATTTTACAACAATAAATACTACTAATCTACTTTTAACATCAAGTAAGTTTAATACTAAAGAAAAAAAAATCAGTTTGTTATGTTTTTTAATAGATACTACAATAAATATAAGCACTACTGTTTCTGTGACTAACAATATTCAAACAACAGTCGTTAATACTTCTTCAACTATAATTCCGACATCAGCTAGTCATCGTAATAAACCTTCAATGGCTGAATCAGATAATGATGATCTTTCACAGAATTTCTTTTATGTAAAAATTCGTTCATTTATTCATTCAATAACATCAATTGATTTACTTTATTTATTTATATCAGTAATATTTTTTTTATTGGGTATTTTCTATTCAATATTAGCAATACAAGATGAAAAAAATAAGAATTTATCTTCATTAATAAATCTCAATCCATTATCATTATTATTTCTTCAACCTCATCGAATAATAAATAATTCAAATAAACAAATCTCATTATTATTTGATCGTTCATTATTTAAATTTATTTTTTTTCTTATATTATTCTATTTTATTTTATCAGGTATTGAATATTCATGTATTTATTTAACATATTTATTTGGTAGAAAATTTCAATTATCAGAAAAAAAAAGTTTATTATTACAATTTTTTTATTTATTTGGTCGTTTAATTGATATATTAGTTAATTATATTTGGTTTTTATTAAATAAACATTTTAAAATAAAATCAGATTTTATTTCAATAAAATTTTTAATATTTATTCGTCTTATTATTTTAACTGTGATTTGTTTATCAAATTTATTTCAACAAATATATTATTTATTATTTTTTTCAATTGGATTTTTTCTAACATCATTATCAAGTTTAATATTATATTGGATTGAACGTGATTTAAGTTTAAATGATTTACTTCTTCGAATTATATTATTTACAATAATAATCAGTGAAATAATCTTTCCTATATTTATCTTTTATAAAATTGAATATTTTGTTCAATTTTATTTATTAATTGGTTTATGTTTATTGATTATTTTCTTTATGATAATTTTATATTTAAGTAAAAAATGGCAAAGAAATAGATTATATCGTTTATTACCAGCATCAATGGAATTAGAAGAGAATTCGGATAATGAAATATCTAATAATTAGAAATTAATAGATTGATAAAATAAATATTATGTTTTTTTTTACTGAATAATTTGAATTTGATGTTTTTTTTTTCTGTCCGGTGAATGATGATTTTTCTTTGTTTGAAAAAAATAAAGTTAGAAAATATAATCTTAAAAATGTTCTTAAGTTTTTTTTACGAATCAATTTCGAAGGATAATACTTAAAATTTTTAGTCTTATTTTTGATCGTCTCTAGAGATTTTATGTTGATTACTTGCTAAATTTCTATTATGGCAAATACGCATTTCTGTTACCGATAAATTCAATAGACTTTTGAATAAATTCATTTATAAAATTATTTATATGTGAAGATATAAAAGGTTCTTTGTTTTTTTAAAGTTTTTTTCTAAAGGCAATAATCGATGAAGCTGTTCTTCTATTTTATAAGATGGAATCTTTCTATGAGAATATAACTATTTTTTTTTTGATTTGTCACATGGATATACTTTGATATTATTCCTTGGAATATTCAAGATCTTATACAGTCGTGGATAAAAGTGTCGTAGCTGGACAACAAACTATCCGAATAGATACTGTTTCTATTGAAATTTTTGTCACAAGTAGAAGTTTGATGAACCTTGATTGCAGGTACCACCTGAAGCTCTATCCTCTTCGTAACGATGAGAAGGAAGATCAACATCAACGAACTTTTTAGATTGTATTATCTCGAACTAGAAACGAGATCTAAAGATGTTCAATCTCTCGTGAAAAAAACTGGCCTCTTGTTCTCTTCATGATGAAAAATTTCATTGCAAAAAAACGATCTTTCGTCAACTTATGAATCAACCTCCATCAGTCTACTGATCTGACAACTCCTAAAATATCCGATATTTGATCGGAATCTCGGGCTAGGTTTAATCGTTTGTTCTAAACATTGCCCCATAGAATGTTATATCAGATCCGATTTTATTCTGAAATTTTTCAGGATTGTAACTATTAAGAAAAAGGGGGATTCACATCAATCTATATCTCAGGATCAACACGCCTCAAAACTAATTCCTATCGCAAAAGTCTTGGCACAAAATGTTTGTTCATTTTTCCGCTACTTAGAAGTAGCTCGAGAAGAAGAAAAGAAGTCAGTTAGAATCAGAATTTGGTGCTCTCTCTAAATGTGTATTCAGAAGTTTTTTCTAGCTTGAAGTTGAATAATTGAGAGCAAATCTTTAATGAAAACCAATGATATTAATACAATAGGAGGTAATTAATATCGATTACCTTCAACATTAACATTAGTTAATGTACAATATTTTTCATCATCTAATATGAGATCACAATACCAGGAATCATTTTGTAAAATTTGCTACAATTCTTTTTTGGATCTTTTTTTTATTCTTGAACTTTATTATCCATTTTTTGGAACTTTTACGTTTTCTGATAATTACTGATGTTCTTCGACATAAATTTTGTTCGTTTATATTCTAAATCATTCTTCTCAGAAAACCTTTGTTTTACAAAATTTATTTCATGAGTCGATATTAAAAAAAAGTGAGAATTCATTTTAGCAAGTACTACTATTTCTTTACGTTTCATTCTATTTATGAATGTTCGACAAAAACAAATTCTATATAGTTAGAAAGACAAAAAAACATTCCTATCAGCTGGTTAAAAAAACCTGTCGTTCTGACACATAATTTAAAAAGAGATATGTGAATCGACATTTTTATGGCATTATTTTCAAATATTTTTAAACTACAGAATTATTTCAAGGGTACCTCTCTTGTCATTTTACCAAATCTTTCCAGAGCCGCGCTATTTATAAAGAAATATAAAGGTCGACATTTTGTGCCATTACTTTTGCATCGTATGCTATGTATGATAGATAATTACCGTGATATATTGGTAGTAACAAAATAAGGCATTTTGTTTTGTTTTTGCAGAAAAATATAATAAGTTATTGCAAGAGTTAAAAGTAACTATTCGTAGCAAAGAAAAGATGATAAATGATGGTGCGAAACATAATATATTAGTTATTTGCAAATTTTCTTTTATTTCTCAACCCTACACATTTAAGTTGTGCAGGAATTTTAAGATTTACCATAGGTTCCTGAGTGTTCTCAAGAAATGCACCTTAACACGTCTGAATGTGTCCAAAATGCAACATTTTCGGCATGTGTCAACACACTCAACCAGTCTAATACGTCTATAATAATTATAAATCCCCTGATTCGAATTACTACTTGTATTAACCAAAACAAAAATTAAACTTAAAAAGTTTTGATAAATCAAAAATCGTTTTCATTGAATACTTTAGTACAAATACAATCGAACAATTTCATGCTGATTGTTCTTAAAAGCAAAACTTTTAACAAAATCTCTCAGATAATGTTAATTGTCTTGCTTGGATTATCTTACACAAAATAAGTAAAACTTTATACGAGAAAAATATCTTTCAATAGGCTCAAAATTTTGCCAAAAACCCAGAGGCTGAACATCAACACACTCAATTTTCTAATTATGCCACTATTTAAAACGTTTAAAATTGACTTCTATACAATGATTTGATGATCTATAGAGAAGGAAAAAAGTCGACAACGTGAAGGATCTGAATATGTATGTGAACGAAAAAGTTTCACACACCAACATCCACATCTGACACATCCACACTCAAGTCGCAAAAAAAAGATTCTCAATCTAGTGTCATTTATTGAAGATATTTTCAATTGATCCTGATTTTGTTCAGTGATAATTCTTCATCTAGCTACAAACCTAATTAATCTGTTCATCTTCATGTACTCACTGCATGAATCAAATTTTCAGAGCATTTTAACAGTCTATGATCTACAATATCTCACTTCAAACAATAATATGAAACACTAATTAGTTTTCGATAGAACTATTGGAAGACAATCGATGAAGAGAAGTTGATCTCATCTTAGCTGTTTCTTAGTACTCGATAATGGATCATACGTTGTTATTACCTATTCAGAATTGATTCTATTATGAAAAGATCTTCTCTTTTTTGTTTTTTAATTCGATTTGATCGATAAAAACAAATTGGATCATGTAACTCTGTGTTATTGTCAATGATGAATATTTGTGTTTTTCCTACTCATTTCCATTTTTGTGATATTCAAATCTGATTTTGTAACTCAAATGCTATACTTGTCAACAATTGATTGCAAATCTTTGTCATATTTCATCGAATCACAGTGAAGAATTAGTTGTTTATTAATTAAAAATGCGCGATCATTGCCAAATGGTCATTGAAAGACTTATCAAGAAGAAAACTAATTCGAAGTCAAAACTCGTTGATCACCATTTATCTCTCAGAGATTGCTGAAAAATCCTCTGTTGTTACGTCTCGATTTCATCTATAAAATGACTCTTTGATGAGATCATGTCCAACAAGACCAACATATATAATGAATGATTCTGAGTGTTAACACTCTCATCATCAAAATCAGACAAAACACATCGAATACATTCGCAAAAAATCTCTTTAGCGATCATCCAAATCAACGATCGAAGCAAATTTCGATCGATAAATCTTTTTTTTGTTAACTGAATGTTGGATTCTCTCTTTTTTTTCCAGTGAATCAGAATTATTTACTAACATGTTGTTCAATTCTTGAAATAATGTACAGTTTTCATGATTAGACTCATGAGAAATTGAAATTCATTTAAGATCTAGTAGTTGGATATTGACATTATTTCTTCTATAGAGAAAATTATCTATTTAATTTACTAACAAATGAAGGTATGTGACATTGATCTTTTTAAAATTTTGATTGACTTTTGCTCGTGTACATCTTGCTTCTAACATTATATGAATACGAACTTGATTATTGCTTTTGGTTAATGTTTTCATTATCTTTAATTTTGTGATTTCAACAGTGTGTTTATATATATATATATATATATGCGAACTTTAATATGAACAGACTAAATAATGATGGTCCTTGAAGAAACAAAAAAGTGTAGGAGAACAAGTGTAGGAGAAAAAAAACAACCTCTTGTTTTTTTGTTTTCGTTATATGAGTGCTTATGTGAGAGGTAATCTATACCTATTTATTCGTACGCCAATACAAATTAATCCTTCTCTTTCTTCCTGATAGTTTCGTATAGGCTTATTTACTTTTATTCAAAAGACTATAAAAAACATAGGTATATCTCTGTTTTACTCATTGTATATTTATTCAATACAGACGCAGTTTCATTACGTTGATATATTATCGTAACGTAAATACTGTACCATATTGTATATACTTACATCAAAGAAAATTTTGCATTTAATTATCTGTTTTAGAATGAATTCTACAATAATCTTCATGATATTGATGATAAGCATGATTCAAGTGGGAAATACTGCCTCAATCAAATGGCCTATTACGCAAGTCGGCTGCTCTAGTGGTGGAACAATTACATGTTGTAAAGGATATATCTTACAAGTGGCAGATAAAACAACAGCGACGTGTGTTAAATGTCTTGAACCAGGAGCACCGTGCTACAACATAATACAAGACTGTTGTCCAGGGTATCGTTGTGGCACTGGCGGTTTTATTTCAGACACACCACAGCCTGGTGCTACATGCATCTCGGAATTAATTATAGGTTAGAAACATCAGATACGCGAACTAACAATGCAAAATGAACTCTAGTTTTCTGGTATATTCATATCAAATATTTATTCATTGTGTTTTGTATTTTTTTTGTAACGAGACATATGCACTTAAATATCTGATTTATTGTTTGAAAAATAAATATATTATTATTTACATTCCGTTCGAAAGCGCGAATGTTTTCAACATTTTCTGAATAATTTTTGAAATTAACGCGAAAGAATATATAATTCGACTATTTCGGACTTCATTTATATTGTTTAACTTTTAGTGTCGATGAGTTGTTCAGTAGTAGTTGGTGAAATACTTCATGTTTGTAACAACATTCGTGACGAAAATATTTTTTTCACATTTGATGGGTTAAGCGGTGCGGTTCAGGTTTGGTGTGAGTGTTCTCGCGTTACAGAGCGTAATATTAGAAGAGGGATGGAAGGAATTTCCCCTCGTAAGTTTCCATTTGCGCTCAACCTTTCTCCCAGAAAATTATCCTCAACTACAATTTACTGAATTTCTTGAATTTCAATAGCATAAATGTGCAAAATAGACAACTGCGTCCTTAGTTTTTCAAAGAGAAAAGTCTAATTTCTTCGAAAGAAAAAGTTTTATTTGGAGATTTCATAAATAAACGAGCTGTTTTTTGATAAAGAGATTCCTTTCACTACAGTTCTAAAAGAGAATTGGCCACTTTCTCGCAAACATAAGACTTTCGTCCTTGTTCTAAATAATATCAAGCGATGGCACTGTCACTTCGCCTACAACCATCTTGACTGAGTGGATGAGGATGCGATCGATCGAGTGCTATCCACCTTAAACTCATGCAAGCCATTCTACCACATCCAAAAAAAGTTTCATTGGTTGAAATTTCCATCCTTTCTAAGTTAGGTTACTCCTTATGTGTGAGTTGGCGGCAGAAGAAGGAGAAGTGGCCTAAGTTTTATTTAAGTTACTACTGTTCTGATAATGATTTCGTTAAAGTTTTGAACTACTAGTGAAAAGTTTGCTTCGACACCGCACTTTCAATTGTTTTCGAAACTCTCAACAAAGAAAGCATAAAAATTTATTTCTTTGTAAATCGGCTTGTCCACGTAACGCGTCACCTTCAATGCCAGTAGTTTGAAAAATCAGGTCTAAATATTACCAGTTTTATCCGATATAACACGAGAAAAAATGTATAAAAGCTATTTGAGGTTTTCAGAACATGAGATTTAACTCGCACTTATTCACCATTGTGGATACGCTAATAGCAGGAAAAGCATTTTATTTTTCCAATTTTCGTCATCGCGTTACAAAATCGTCATCGCGTAACGTTAATGTGACCAAAGTTTCACTATTAATGAGAGACCGTTTCGGAAAAAACTTTTTTCACATTAATACACCAAAGTGTTTACTACAAATCTATTGTGAAATATTTTGTTCAAGGTAATATACATTTGGAGAAAAACAAAGAACGAGTACAACACCCTCAAATTTTTGTCCCTTGCCCATCATCGCGTTACGCTGTATATTTTTGCTATGATTTTCAGAATGATTTGCTAAATAAACTCAAATTTACCGGATTCCAAGAGTACATAAGGAGACACATCTTCTGATGAAAAAATCAAATTTCTAAGTGATTTTGTTGCTGAGAAAATTCGGAGACACAGCGGACAAAACATCATCGCGTTACGCTTGGACAAGCTGATATTTTCTAAATACAATATTTCACCTGATATTGTTGTTCTGTTCATGTTAATCTTTAAAACATGAAAGCAAATGTAGTATTAGTCAAAGGGAAAACTGGTCGATTGGATCTAATTCTTGCACAGCTACTTTCAAGAGGTACCCTGAAATTATTGCTTTTAATATTCATGTAGAATCTAATAATTGGCTTTTATGGTGACTATGTAACTATAATATGACAACTTCATGTTCGATCAGGTGCTTTCAACTTGTTTACATGAAACACTAAAAGTTCTTATTCAAATGGAATTGGTATTTCTTAAATAACACGTGATGCAAACTTACTAGCTCATGGACGAGTTTGATGACGAAAGGAACTTTTCATTTGTAAGTTTGGGGATGAAAGTTTATTCCCTCGACTGAAGAGAGGGTCATACGAAAAACACACAAAAAGCGTTTGTCTATTTGTTTGTCGGGATCAAAGGTTAGAAAAGCATCGCCTTAAAAGTTTAATGGTAGACGTTTTTCTCCATCCTAAAAGGACGGAGTCTTCACAATGGAAATTCGTATGTTTCTCCGGTGTCTGATTGGTCGAAAAATGGACCAATCAGATTTCAGGAGGACTTTTCTCTCTTAATATGAAGACAAGTGCTCGTCATGTTCGGGCCGATCCAAGGGTTATCGGGGACGATCTATCGAATGAGGGATATAAGGTGTGGGTGTGTGTTTTACCTTTTATCACACACATCCATACTCACACCCTGAAACTTTAATATAACAATCATGAAAGGCTTAAGAGCACGAACATGTTTAATAATTTCATCATGACTATGAGTCCTACTTATGAGCTCGAACAGAGGATATCAGTTGAAGAAGTTCTCTCAATATCTATTTGCTGATAAATAGGACAAAAAAATGTTTGCTCATGTTTTTACTAGAGTCATAGAAATTATATTTAAAAAACAAAACGATTAATATATTATCCAGTTTATATTTGATCAAAAGTTTTCTTTTCTCTGAGTTATTATTCAAATCATAACACAAAAACTAGGAAATATTTGATACTTTTCGAGAAAATATCTATATGAAAAAAATATATATCTTCACGAATTTTTAGGTGTAGTAACAGAATTTGGTGAATATGATTAGATGTTTTTTTAGTTTTACATTTGGTTCTTGTCGTTGTAACATTTCAGCAACAGCATAACATCATTCATATGTGGAATACCATCACGTAATACATAACCATCATGTGTACAAGCAATAAACATAGCATTAGATATATTTGATTGAACTGAACGTGAATAATTACATAAAGATATAAATTCATCCATAAGAAGACGCATCATATGTTTAATTAGATCGAAAACAATTTTATTTGAATCTATTGATCGATTTTGTTCACGTAAATAATCATAAAATGTTTGAGAGGCTTTATTTTCATAGAATTGTCGAGAAGGTGGATCAGGCCATCTAAAATATAAATATATACACAATGGATACCAAAATTATTCAACTTTTACTCAATAAAAAACCGTCCTATAGAGTTCAAGTACTAAATACTGAGAAATTAGGCTTTTGGGTTGTCTAAAAAAATCCTAACTTAGGGAATCAAATAATCAATGTTTTTAATTTGTATTCTTTTTGTAATATGGTTTGCTCTACTTGGATCATTATTTGAAATTATGATAGATACTGTATGTCCATTCATTAAATAGATCAAATAATAGAATTGAATCTTACTTTGTAAATGCTAATGAAGCCATATGTCGACCAAGAGAAAAACCATGTAGAATAGCTGATGTTAATTTCATTTTTTGATGCCAATGAAGTAGATCTGGAGGTTTTCTTAAACCATAATATGGATTTTCAAGAAGAATTGAACCTATAGGATATTGATTAATTAATGGGACTGCAGTAAATAATCTTCGTCGACTAAAACCTTGATCACGTGATAGAACAAGTTGAAAATGAGCTGTAGCTACTTGAGATGGAACCCATTTAAATAAATAGAACAAAAGAAAAAAGATAATATTAATTAAATGATTAAAATAATTTTAATTACTTACCAAATGTGGTAAATAATTGGCAAGTGGTGAACGAAATCGAGCATTTATATAATTTTCATTATCTTTTTGTTTCTTGTTTAATTATTTCAACAGTATTCTCCTGTACATTTTCAGCTGGTACAAGTTTTAAACATTCGCCTCTTACATCAATTTTTTCACGTCGATCGGTAAAAATTTCTTGTAAATGAAATGAATTTCCCCAACCACGTACAAATGATCGAGTTAATATAAAATGTTGAAAGAGATTGTCGAAATTCATCATTTCAATCGTACTCGAATCTTTAATATCATCTAGAGAATTGTTGATCTGATCTTCTTTTTCTTTAATCGAACAAAAAACAGGACAATACAATGCTTTTGTATTCTCAATGGTTTGTAAACACACACACATACAAAAAAAATTCTTATATGTTCTTTTTATTTTCCTAAATCAATCTCGTTAGTTTACTATGAAAACAAAAAAAACAATATTTTTATTGCATAGCACCAGTAATGTTACGTAACAGTTGAGGACCATGTGGTAAATAAACGCTATTTCTTGATTTTAATAATTGATTTGCAATACCTTCAGCGGCTTCAATTCGTCGAAGTTCGACAAAAACCTAACATGAATATTAAAACAAAGTAAGACAGGATAATAAAAGATATTCGAAAATTTACCATCACCAACTTCATCTAAAGCTTTGCCAATCAAATCAGCTGCACGAGCATCATCTTCTGCTGCCATAACATTTGCTTGACGACTTTGTTCAGCTTGGTTCTTTTTTATCAAAAAAATCATACAAATTTTATTCTTATTCATTTACTTTTTCGATTAAATATCGTTGTTTTTCAGCATATTGTTGTGCAACTTGTTTTAATTCAACAGCACTTGTAAATTCAGGTCTAAAACTTAAATGTGTCTAGTTTAAAGAAAAAAACTATATATAATCAACTCGAGACCCTTTTTTGTTGTATCTTACAATTGAAATATCATCAAGTAATAAACCAAATTGAGCAGCACGTTCTGTTAATAATTCACTAACACGTTGAGAAATAAATGTACGTTGTGTAATCAATTCAATAGCATCAAATTGAGACTTAGTACAACAGATTTTCAAACTTCATTAATAATCGATGATAAAACACGTTCTTCATAATCTAAACCCAAATTTGCAAAAAATTTTTGGTAAAAGTTCAGCTCTTGGTCGATAAAGAATACGTAATGTTATATTAATTGTTTGTAAATCTAAAATAAAAATAATAAAATGTAATTTATGCATATTTCATTTATACGAAGAGAAAATGACGGAGACTTCCCGTCTTAAGTTTTATGAAGATTCCTAAGATTGGTGAATGATGAGAGTGTAGAGGTGTAAACCGATCAGTTGAGTCACCATCGATGGCCGCAAAATTTTTTAAGATACCTCAGCCAGATACATTCATTGATGTTCCAATACACATCGTATTTACCTTCTTTTTTTTCGCGAGCTTACATTTTCCTCATGTTCACCCCTCTCCTGAAGTTGACTGTTTTATTCTAGCTTTTATACCTGTTATTTCTGTTATTGATGGAACAGAGCGTGGATGTGTACAAATATCAAATATAATTGGTCTATGAAGCCATGAAATCATAAAATGAGTTCCTAAACATCTAGTTTAACATCTTGAAAACGATCAAAAATAACATCTCGATGACCATCATCAACTAGAATATATTTAAATTTAAAGAAAACAAGTTTTTTTTTAAATCCTTTCATTACTTACCATTATAAAGTATAGAATTAATCACACCACCACCAATACCTAAACCAATATCAATTCTTCCTAAAACACTAAATTCTTCTATCGAAATAAAATATTATCTCAATATCTTACCAATATTATTAAATAAACGAGATGAATTTATTAGCAAATAGTTCCGGAAACAAAACGAAACCAAATGAAAATTCTTCATATCTCTATCGATAGAAAAAGAAAATGCATCACTATTTAATCTATCTATCTACTACAATAACAAACCAATGTAATAAAATACATAGAAAATGATTAAATAACAATAAACTTTGAAAGCAAAACAAAAATACATGCCTACTTTTACATAAATCGAAATCCACTTGAAAAAATATGAGCACCGTTTTTTTTTAGATAAAACAAAAGAAAAACAAAATGTGTATAAAGTTTAACACCGTTCAGATATTGTTCACCATTGGGTTTTAATGAATTTGAATTGCTTCGGATGCTGGAACAGTCTATAAAGAAATTATTTATATAATAGAAAAAAAACAATGTTTTTCAATTACTATAATTTGATTTTGTTGAAAAAAATTGTTGTGGAAATGATGCACCATCAACACGAAAATCTTCAAGATTTTTATAATTTTTTAAAATTTCTTCAAGTTTTGGATTGATTTTTGGTTTCTGTCGAGAATATTTTAAAAATGCCCAGAATTTTTCTAAACCATATAATTGATCTAAATAGAAAAATTATTTTTGTTATTGACACTTTTCTTTTTTTTGTGTAATCTATTTTATTATCAGCTTCATGATTACAAAGAGTTTCATGTTGAAAATCTTCAAATACATGTTGACGAAAATGTTTTTCTATACCATATGTATAAAATCGAAATAGACATTCAACACCATATCTATACATAAATAATAATATTCAATTTTTTTCCTTATTATTTTTCATAAGAAAAATGACTAAAAACGATAGAGTGTATCCATTTCCATTGATTAACCAGGACCAAGTTTAATGCTTTCTAGAAATTAGATCATTACAGAAAACAAAATGTATTTTATTTGTAAATCAAGGTAACTTCAGATTATAAATATTTTCTATGAAATAATAAAGTTTGGCGATTAGTGAAACTTAGTGTTTTTAATCATTGATGATTATTTTATTGCTTTTCAAATTTATCATGTGGATAAGAATGATAGTATTTATTAAAAAAAAACTCCATAAAAGAGTCAAATCTTTGTTTTTTTTTTTTGAAAATTATAGCAACAGACATATTCTCTATTAGCTATTTAAA